CCTGTCACCGCCATATTATAGAACATGTGAGGAAGGGAGGGCCTCTTTTTTATAAGCTAGGAAAAGGATGTCCTGCGAGAGTTCAAGAGGAGTTAACCCAAGAGGTGCTGACGTGAGGACAGGCCAGGAAAGAAAAATTACTGTAAATATTAATAACAATTTTCTTTTTTTTGGTTCAGTTTAATAAGATGGTACAAAGGGCATCAAAATGAGTTAACCTAAGACAACCCCCCTCCATTTCACACAGAATTCCAAGTTTAAAGGGAAACAGTGTTAAGCTAAAAAGAATGCATAAGGTACAATAGTGGTCACTGTGGCCAACAGTTAAATGAAGAGTAATGAGGCTTAGCAAAGGAGTGATGAGAAACCTCAGTTTGGAAACAAGTTAAAACCAACTTCAGCTTACTACAAAATAAAAAAATATATAATAATAGTCTCTGCTTACGTCTAATTGGGTAAAAGTGGGACCTTACATACATCCTAGGCATATAGTCCAAAGGGCTCCACAGAGACACAAAGATCAATTCTAAGACTAAAATATGTTGTATTTGTAAACACTATAAGGTGTCTGCTCTTAATTTTTTCATTAACCTAGAAACATTTTAAGCCAAGACAGGTTTATGTAAAATAATGCTTTTAAAAGTGATGCTGTCACCACATGGTCCAAAGTAAGCAAAGCCTGTGCTGTAAAAGAAGAGGCCGTGTACTTACCTTTTAAGTGTTTCATGTCTTCCACCACTTTGCAGATCTCTGGTCCCTGCAGTTATTTGACAATTTTGGGTGTGCTTAATATCTGATCCCCTCACCACACAATGTGGTTCCTCTTGCTGGTTCATACATTTGTCAGGGGTAGAAGGCATTCAACACACCCAAAGGTGGGGATTACCTGTAGCAGCCAGGGATCAACAAAGTGGTGAGTTTGAAGACTCGGGCCACTGGAAATGTAAGTATTTAGCATCTTTATTCTCAGTGTAGGCTTTGTTTACTTTGGACCCTGTGGTGACTGGGTTACTTTACTGTGCACTATTAACCTTACTTGGCATTCAGCATATGTATGTAAACATCCTGGACAGCAAGTGGTTTCATCTGGATCATGGCTGCAGCTGCAGGCAAGATCCTGGTACTGTTTTTTTACCATTAATCAGCTGACAGGTAAAAGTGATCTAGTGGGCTCTACTACGCTTGGAAGGCCGCCATTCCCCTGTTCCTCCAGGGAACCCAGTACAGTGGCAAGTGGTGAGGATGGCTGCTAACAGAGGAGATGGAAGAGCATCCATTCCCCAATCTCCTCTGTAAAGAATGCAATGAGGATTTTTGTCAGTTCAGGTTTCAGAGCTGTTATTTCCTGGCTGTTACAGCCAGGGTAGCAGCTGATCAAACATGATCTTGGAGGGCAGGGAAGACATTGGTGATCTACCTAAAGTGTACCTATTGCTCACAGCTATTACAAGGGTGCTTGTTCAACCCCCTGTGATAACAATGAAGGTAAATAATTTTGTTTTTTTTTTAACAAAAAAAAATTTAAATAAATGAAAATAATTTAAAAAAAATGTAAAAAGCACCCCACCCATGCATACGCACAAATGCAAACACTCATTTAGGTCTGGCACACAATATATAAATGGTGATTGCAGTGATTTCACCACACATGTAAGAGCCCTAATTGATTATTAACTTTTAAAGTGTCACCTACTGTATGGATGATGTAAGGTATTGTAGTTTGTCGCCATTTCCCTGACATGTGCAGTTTTACATTTTGGCATGTTTGGTATTGATTTACTCAAAACAACATCATATTTTATATAAAAATAATAAATTGGGTATTATATTGTGTTTATATGCACCAAATTCATTTTAGTGCATTTCCTGAAAATTTGTGTTTGATAAATGGTTGTGCAAATATATGCAACATACTGTAAGAAATTGCAAAGACCACCATTTTATTCTCCAGAGCATCTGCTTTCAGAAAATATATATTGTTGGTGTTTAAGTAATTTTTTAACATAAAATGCTGAATTTAACATGCGTACAATTCAAAAAATTGCCCTGGGCAACAAGCTGTTAAAGATGGAGTAAACCATGCAAAATTACCAGAAATAACTTACAGAGTCACTTATTCTGACATTCATCTCAAAGTGGACCTAGCAGGAGAGAATTTTTGCTTATTAAGTTCATGTATTAGGTAAGTAATGTGTAAGTGTAAAACTTACAAGTGTTAATTGCATATCATAGAGATCACAATGTTCCCAAAGACAATCCTTTCTCCTTCCTATATTTCCAGAATAATTATCTCAAGAATTATCTTTCCAGAATAATTCTTTCCAGAAGAGTTATTTTTGTTCAGACATCATGCAAGGTCAACATCTATTTCCTGGAATGAAATGTTGGGTTAGAGGTGACAGTCACAATCATGTAATTCAGTAGCAATGAACATTTTAAATATGGGTGGACTCAAGTGCAACCCCCCATCATGTTTAGAGCAAAGAACAATAACAGTTTTACTTAAATTATAGATTTGAGACTCTGGTAAGGTTCAAACTGGAATTCTGCATTTTAATCAAGAATTGTTCCCCTTTGATGTTACATGACCACAAAGAAAAAAAATCACACCTTTGCATGAATAGTTAGTATAATATTAAAACAGGATCAACTCAGGCTTGCAAAGCAGGATGATGACAGTTTCACTGTATTGACATTTAAACTTTTGAATTACACTGGACATTTAGCCCCAGTGCATAGGGCTCTGGCTTTTAGCTGCTGGCGCTGGGGGGGGGGGGGGGGGGCACAGGTGCACCATCCAGACCCACTTCCAGGAGCCTAAAAAACACTATGAGGGGTTAATTGCTGCTGTGGCTGGATGGTGTACCTAGTGGTACAAACTTTCAGGATGATACATGACTAGGGACAAATGCCCAAAATGCAAGCAGTCTGCTATCCAGACTATCCTCCTTGGACACATACTGCCCTCAACATTTGAACTGCTGTTAGCCTATCATAGAGTTTTATAGGCTGCCAGCAGCAGAGATGAATAGTGCACCTTTGCCCTCCACTCACAGCTAGATGCCACAGCACACTAAATGCCCAGTGTGCATGGGACCTTAACCACCTCCCGCCCTCCGTATAAGGAAAGGACATAATGGACAGGCAGGAGCTCGTCATGACGTTTGTAAATTGTAGCAGTGAGAGCGGTATTGCAGAACCGCTCTATTTTATGTACACGCTGTATATCCAACTGCAATTAGGCACCCTGTACAAGTGAGTGCAATTGTATCTGTTTTATTTGAAATAAAAAACTTTTAAGGATAAAGCACTATTTTAAGTTTCGATTTGCATGAGACGGAGTGGTGATTTGGGAGAAGGTGCACGGAGCGCAGAGTTATATACAAGCAACATCCATGATGTCCATGGAATGAACAAAAAGCGTTTTTGGCCGAGCATAACATATGATGTTATAAACAGGAGGTGAGCAGACATCTGGAGGGGGTGTGGTCACTTACTAGTTCTGGATGTAGCACGGATGGTGGTATTTAGTGGAAAAAGCACAGTGTGATATTATGAAAAGGATTTAATGTTACATTTTATCACTTTCATGGTTTTTCATTGGATTATGTTTGAGGCGTTGATATTGCACCCAATAGCGCCGCACAGTGTTTTGTGATTTTAGAAACTAAGAAAACTTTCAGTCTTTTTTTGGTTTGTTTAGCAAAAAATAAAAAACCCAGTGGTGATTAAATACTACCAAAAGAAAGCTCGGTATGTCTCAAAAAAATTATACAAATTTTGTTTGGGTACAAAGTTGCATGACTGTCATTCAGAATGTGACAGCGCTGAATGCTGAAAATTGCCAGGAAGGGGATGAAAGTGCCCAGCAGGCAAGTGGTTAAAGTTTTTCTAAAGTTTCAAATACAAACAAATACACTACATTGCCAAACGTATTGGGATGCCTACCTTTACACGCACATGAACTTTAATGGCATCCCAGTCTTAGTCCATAGCGTTCAATATTGAGTTGGCCCACCCTTTACAGCTATAACTAACTTCAACTCTTCTGTGAAGGCTGTCCACAAGGTTTAGGAGTGTGTCTATAGGAATGTTTGACCATTCTTCCAGAAGCGCATTTTTGAGGTCAGGCACTGATGTAGCATGGGAAGGCCTGGATCCCAGGCTCTGCTCTAATTCTTACCAAACGTGCTCTATCGGGATGAGGTCAGGACTCTGTGGAGGCCAGTCAAGTTCCTCCACCCCAAACTCGCTCATCCATGTCTTTATGGACCTTGTTTTGTGCACTGGTGCGCAGTCATGTTGGAACAGGAAGGGGCCATCCCCAAATTATTCCCACAAAGTTGGGAGCATGAAGTTGTCCAAAACATCTTGGTATGCTGAGAGTTCCCTTCACTGGAACTAAGGGGCCAAGCCCAATACCCTGAAAAACAACCCCACACCATAATCCCCCCTCCACCAAGCTTTACACTTGGCACAATGCAGTCAGGCTAGTACTGTTCTCCTGGCAACTGCCAAACCCAGACACGTCTATCGGATTGCCAGACAAAGAAGCATGATTCCTCACTCCAGAGAACACATCTTCACTGCTCTAGAATCCAGTGGCAACGTGCTTTACACCACTGCATCCGACACTTTGCTTTGCACTTGGTGATGGAAGGCTTGGATGCAGCTGCTCAGCCATGGAAAGCCATTCCATGAAGCTCTCTATGCACTGTTGTGCTAATCTGAAGGCCACATGAAGTTTGGAGGTCTTTAGATATTGACTCTGCAGACAGTTGGCGACTTCTGCGTACTGCTTCCTCACTCCAGAGAACACATCTCCACTGCTCTAGAATCCAGTGGCAGCATGCTTTACACCACTGCATCCGACGCTTTGCTTTGCACTTGGTGATGGAAGGCTTGGATGCAGCTGCTCAGCCATGGAAAGCCATTCCATGAAGCTCTCTATGCACTGTTGTGCTAATCTGAAGGCCACATGAAGTTTGGAGGTCTTTAGATATTGACTCTGCAGACAGTTGGCGACTTCTGCGTACTGTGCACTTCAGCATGTGCTGACTCCACTCTCATTTTACGTGGCCTACCAATTCGTGGATAAGTTGCTGTTGTTCCCAGTTGCTTTCACATTGTTACACTACCACTAACAGTTGACCGTGGAATATTTAGTAGCAAGGAAATTTCACGAATGGACTTATTGCACAGGTGGAAACCTGTCATGGTATGATGCTTGAATTTACTGAGCTCCTGAGAGCGACCCATTCTTTCACAAATGTTTGTAGAAGCAGTCTGCATGCCTGGGTGCTTGATTTTATTCGCCATGGAAGTGATTGGAACACCTGAATCCAATGATTTGGAGGGTGTCCCAATACTTGTGGTAATATAGTGTGCAGAAAATGTTACTGTGTGGTAAAAATCATGGATTGGTGGTAATGTGATAATGTGAGTCTGACAGTTTTCATATTTAATGAGAGTAAAAACCACCTAACTCATCTCATATATCTGAATCATAGCATGGGACTTCAGGCAGGAGGGTGGACCTGGGACAGCTAGGGTTAGCTACAGACAAAAACAATCCACAGGCACTGGATTCACAAACTGTCAGAGCTAAAAAAAAAAATTTACTCATGACCTGGCTTTTAAAACAAGACAATGCACAAAGTCAGATATGTGGCAAGCTGAGATGCTAATCAGGAAGCCATATACAAGCAGCCCGTGCTTTGTATGCCTGATGTTCAACACTTCAGGCTCTGCCAAAGCTCTTTATAACCTCCCCTCAACCCAGGGCACAGCAGGTTGCACATATAGTGTTGGCAGGCCAAGCTTTGGGCACCAGGGATGTAAATTCTGGTGCTTGTACAATTCTTTGCTGTGTTTGCATATCTGACACAGATCCCTGCTACTGCCTATCTTATGACTTGCTACAAAGCTACCGTGTTGCAGTTTGATCATCGGGGAAGAAGAGAATGAGGAAATCCTCCTGCCTGCAGCATGCTTAAGACATCTTCTCAGCCTACACTGTGTGCACAATAATTAGGCAGGTTGTATTTTTGAGTATTAATTTTATTGTTAAACAACTACAGTGCTCTCGGTCAATCCAAAATGTTAAGAAACCTCAAATCTGAATATTTAAGAAAGTAAAAGTGAGGTTTACCTTTCTTAGGAGAATACCTATGGGTGCACAATTATTGGGCAACTATTAGTGTGCAGAATTATTATGCAATGAAAAATGAAAATTTTCCCAGCTCAAATTATTCCCATCTGTAAGTCCTCATGCACACTGAGCATTTTAAAAACACCAGTAGCATTAGCTGTATAAAGTCACGTTAAAAACATGAGTTTTTCTGAATTTTTTAGCATTTTTTGCATTAGCATTTAGCCACATGTGTTTTTTAAATATTTTTTACACAAAAAAAATGCCATTTGTGCTAAAAAAAAGCCCCAAAATTCCAGTTTGCCGCATTTTACAGCATTTACCAGCATTAGAGTATTTTTACAGCTAAAAAAACTTCTCTAGAAACCAATAGTTTTGGGGTTTATTCCAGCCAAAAATGCCCCTGTCAAAAAATTATGATTAAAGCCTATGTGTGCATGGACATATAGGATAACATGCTGGGGAGTTTACTGGCTATAGAAAAAATGCTGAATGCCAAAAACAGCAGCTGTACAAATGTTCTGTGTGCATGAGGACTTTAAGTGAGAATAATAAACAAACAATCCAAAATTTACAAATAAACATTTATGACAATTCAAAAAAAAAAAAAAAAAAGTGGCCAATATAGCCACCCTTCTTTTCAATAAGTCATAAGCCTTCCATTCATGGAGTCTGTCAGTTTCTTGTTCTCTTGACGATCAACGTTTTGTGCAGCAGCAACCACAGCCTCCCAGACATTGTTCAGAGAGGTCTCCCATTTAAGAAGGGCCCACAAGTTCTCAATAGGGTTTAAGTCAGGAGAGGAAGGGGACCATGTCATTATTCTTTCATCTTTAAGACCTTTACTGGCTAGCCACACAGTGGCTTACTTTGATGCATGAAATGGAGTATTGTCCTGTATAAATATCATGGTCTTCTTGAAAGATGCAGACAATTTCCTATACCACTACTTAAAGAAAGTGTCTTCTAAAAACTGGCAGTAGGTTTGGGAATTGATTTTGAATCCATCTTCAACCCGAAAAGGTCCAACTAGCTCTTCTTTAATAATACCAGCCCATACCATTACCCCACCTCCACCTTGCTGGCATCTGAGTCAAAGTGGAGCTACTGATCGTTACTGATCCAGCCATGGGCCCATCCATCTGATTTGTCAAGAGTCAATCTCATCGCATCAGTCCATTTGAAAAATCTGTCTTCAGATATTTCTTGGCCCAGTCTTAACGGTTCAACTTATGTCTCTTGTTCAGTGGTTTCTGCCTTCCTCACCTTGGCCATGTCTCTGAGCACTGAACACCTTGTACTTCTGGACACTCCAGGTAGGTTGCAGTTCTGGAATATGACAGCACTGGAGGATAATGGGTTCCTGGTAGCTACAAGCTTGATTCTTCTCAAATCTTTGGCATTTAACTTGCGTCTTTTTTTTTCAACACATTTCTTGTGACCCTGTTGACTATTTGCAACAAAACATTTGATGGTTTTGTAATCACTTGCTTTCTCAATGAACGGGGGTGAGCATCCCCACTCACCAAAGCCAATGGAACCTGATGAGTTACCTAATAGATAGTTAGGATTTTTATAGACACAAACTGGAGATTTTTATGTTCAAATTTTCCTAAAGAGAGAGATCAAGCACATATCGCCCATTCCTTCTTCAAAGACCATATCATAAGAGAGAGGATAAACCCCCTCTTATTACATTATGAAAGTCACACCAATATTTAGTAAAGGGACATATCAGGGATCAAATTTTAACAACAGTGTACTGTTTGTAATAAGAGACTACTCCAAAATGTCCCTGTTCTCATCATAGTATATTATACTGCATATCCACGAAAAGTATAAATTATCATCTTTTTGAATGATATGTTGTAGACAGCAAAATGTGACTATGTTATATGCAATTATTTACCCATCAGCATTTTCAGCTTCACTATTCAACAATGCTGTATATTCAAACAACCATTCTCATTTTCCACTATATGCATGTGTATCTGCGTTCACTCATTGAAGAGGCTGTTCCCCAATTTGTCCCTGACTGGAGACTGCAGCTAATAAGCTATTTAAGCTATTTCTTAAAGGGAAGGGGTGTTGGCTTTCTAGCTCTAAATGCTTTATCTAACAGTCCACCCATGCCCATAACTCCTATTGCCTCTTTCCAGGAAAGAACCATGCATTAGTTGGCATAATGATGTTATCTTGATCCCAATCAATATCAAAGAATAGGCAAAAGTTGCTTGATCTCAATCCTCTAAATAATATTAAAGTGCTCTAAATCATATCCAAATTAAGAGTGCTCATACCAAAAGAAAGAAAAATAACCTCAACATGTTTCTCTCCTACATTGGAGCCTCGTCAGGAGTAAATATATGTGCACCCCATACTATGTCAAACAAAAGCACATGGTTCAAAGCTTGAATTGTTTGTATGGGATTTCTATTTCTACTTCCCCATTAAAAAATGTCTGCCACGTCAAATGACGTGATTACATAATCACATTACATCCGTATGTTGTGACATCACCGCGTATTGATGTCGTGCATGTGCAGTAACAGTGAACAGCGCAATCTTGTGGAAAAAATATGAACTGGTTTCGTTATCATGCCCCAATATCTTAGCAATTTCTAGAGTTCTGTGTTCCTCTGAAAGACTTTTTACAATTTTTTACTTTTCAGAGTCAGTTAAATCTATTTTTTGGCCCATTTTGCTTCAGGATAAGAGGCTGCCTAATAATTATGCACACCTTGATCTCCTTAGGCCACACCCTCCCTCATTACACAAATACACCTCACCTGATATGCCTAAAACCAATAAGCATTTAAGTTTATAAAGCTTGGAGTGAGACAATATGCATAAAAATGATGATTTGGTCAAAATACTCACTTGCCTAATAATTGTGCACACACTATAGTCAAAGTCACCCAACTGGAGCTCAAGGGTGATGTTTTTATGAAAAAAGGGAAAGTTTTTTTTTTTTTTCTTTTTCAAGATAATGCTGATACTGTATATTGTGATGTGTCAGAAATGTATTAATGAGGGCAAGTTATTTAGAAGCTAGAGTGAAAGACAAGACCAAGTTCTTGTCTTTCATAACAATATTTATCCCAAGGAAACTTTATCTTTTGCAATACATTTGCAGTCTCTGCCTATTTGTCTTTTTAACTAGTGTTCCATTGGATAACAGTTTCTAACATTTTAGATGTGGCTAAAATGGAAGGAGGGCTGTATACTGTTAGCCAAGTGTAACGTTGCTATGAAGTGAATGAGACACAAAGAGTTAATTGTGCCACAATGTTGTGCTCGCTGGAGTGCCACCTTAGTGCAGATTTCTCATAACTGCAGCCTCCGTCTGCACCGATGGGCATTAGTGACCGAAGACTTTAGAGTCACCCTTTAAGATGTCCCAACCACAACTCCATCAAAGTGAATCTACGTTGTTGTCTGCTGGAGGTGAAAGCCTGTAGGGCAAATCAGCTCCTTTTCTACGTATATAGAATGGGAGGTTTCTAGCTGCTTCCTGTGAAGATTCAAGATTGAATTGGGCAGTGTGTAATGTCCATCCACCACTGAAAATAACTCCCAAGGCATCATCTCTGCTTCAATGTCTCAGAACAGGGGAAGGCATACACTATATTGCAAAAAGTATTGGGACACTCCTCTAAATCATTTGATTCAAGTGTTACAATTACTTCCATGGCCACAGGTGTACAAAATGAAGCACCTAGGCAGGCAGACTGCTTCTACAAACATTTGTGAAACAATGGATAGCTCTCAGGAGCTCAGGAGTGAATTTAAGCGTGGTACCGTGATCATTTCCATCCGTGAAATTTCCTTGCTACTAATTATTCCACGGTCAACTGTTAGTAGTATTATAATAAAGTGGAAGCAACTGGGGACAACAGCAACTCAGCCACAAAGTGGTAGGCCACATAAGATGACAGAGCAGGGTCAGTGCATGCTGAAGTGCACAGTGGGCAGAAGTCACCAACTGTCTGCAGAGTCAATAGCTAAAGACCTCCAAACTTCATGTGGCCTTCAGATTAGCACAACAATAGTGCATAGCGAGCTTCATAGAATAGGTTTCCATGGCCGAGTAGCTGCATCCAAGCCTTACATCACCAGGTGCAATGCAAAACGTCAGATGCAGTGGTGTAAAGCATATAATAAATAAGTGCAGCGCTAAAATAATAGGAAGTATTATAATTGACTGTCCAAAATCAAATAATTCCAATAAGATGCCCAGGATATGTAAAATAAAGGTGACAGTCTGTGCAGATACCGTATTTTTTGCTCCATAAGACGCACTTTTTCCCCCCAAAAAAGGGGGGAAAATGTCAGTGCTTCTTATGTAGCGAATATAAAGCGGCCGGTCCGGTATTTCTGCCGGCCACTCAGCTCTCTCTCCTGCAGGGCCTTACCTGTTCCTCGCTCCAGCGCTGCACAGTCTTCCCGCGCTGGCTTCTGTGACAGGGTGCCCACTGCGCATGCGCTGCGCTTTGTGAATGGTCCAGTGTTTTCTGGGACACATGACAGGTCCCAGAAGGCGCCGGGCCATTCACAAAGCGCAGCACATCTCGCGCATGCGCAGTGGGCACCCGGCTGTCACAGAAGACGGCGCGGGAAGAAGAGGGAAAGACAACTCCGCGGAAGTGGGAGCGGGTACCTGTCAAATTCAGGTACCCGCTCCCCCTCCCTCCCCAAAGGTCAGCAGTCTCTGGTTATCCCCTGCACTGTCTGCAGTCTCTGGTCATCCCCTGCACTGTCTGCAGTCTCTGGTCATCCCCTGCACTGTCTGCCGTCTCTGGTCATTCCCTGCACTGTCTGCAGTCTCTGGTCATCTGTACTGTGTCCCTGGTATTTTCCCTGTACTATGTCCACAGTCTCTGGTCATCTCCTGTACTGTGTCCGCAGTCTCTGGTCATCTCCTGTACTGTGTCCGCAGTCTCTGGTCATCTCCTGTACTGTGTCCGCAGTCTCTGGTCATCTCCTGTACTATGTCCGCAGTCTCTGGTCATCTGTACTATGTCCACAGTCTCTGGCCATCTCCTGTAGTATGTCCGCAGTCTCTGGTCATCTCCTGTACTGTGTCCGCAGTCTCTGGTCATCTCCTGTACTGTGTCCGCAGTCTCTGGTCATTTCCTGTACTGTGTCCGCAGTCTCTGGTCATCTCCTGTACTGTGTCTGCAGTCTCTGGTCATCCCCTGTACTATGTCTGCAGTCCATTGGTTCAGAATATTTTTTTTCTTGTTTTTCGCCTCTAAAACCTAGGTGCGTCTTATGGTCAGGTGCGTCTTATGGAGCGAAAAATACGGTAAATGGTGTGAAATCACAATAAAATCCAGTAGTGGTGCTCCAAATAGTGTGATAAAATTATGCACTCACCAGATGCGTAATTTAAATAATTTATCAGAATCAGTAGTGGTCTCCTCTATGGATATGGATCTGGTCTGGGGCAAGGATAATCCTCCCTCAAGGTGGGTGGTGTTGTCAGGAACACTCAGGAAAGTAAAGGATCCAGCTGGCCAGAGGTCACTTTAAGGGATGGATGGGTGCAGATGCCTGCTTACAGGAACTCCCTTCTCTGGATTCAGTAGATGGCTGGATCAAGCGTGCTCTATAAGTAAATAGCTCCTCAAGGAAGACTGCGGGCAGCAGGTAGATGAACATGAACAGCTGGCTGGTGTTTCTGATAAGGTTTTATATTGGTTGCCTTTAGTGCTTTAGCTGCTGACCAGAGAGCGCTCACTTTTTTATTATATTGATAGTGGTGTAAAGCATGCTGCCACTGGACTCTAGAGCAGTGGAGACGTGTTCTCTGAAGTGAAAAATAATGCTTCTCTGTCTGGCAATCTGATAATGTCTATTTGCCAGGAGAAAGATGCTTGCCTGACTGTATTGTGCCAAATGTAAAATTTGGTGGAGGGGGATTATGGTGTGGGGTTGTTTTTCAGGGGTTGGGCTTGGCCCCTTAGTTCCAGTGAAGGGAACTCTTAAGGCCTCAGCATACCAAGACATTTTGGACAATTTCATGCTCCCAACTTTGTGGGAACAGTTTGGGAATGGCCCCTTCCTGTTCCAAATGACTGCACACCGGTGCACAAAGCAAGGTCCATAAAGACATGGATGAGCGAGTTTGGGGTGGAGAAACTTGGCCTGCACAGAGTCCTGACCTCAAACCAATAGAACACCTTAGGGATGAATTTGAGCGAAGACTGTGAGTCAGGCCTTCTCGTCCGACATCGGTGCTTGACCTCACAAATGCGCTTCTGGTCAAACATTCCCATAGATGCACTCATAAACCTTGTGTACAGCCGTCCTAGAAGAGTTGAAGCTGTTATAGCTGCAAAGGGTGGGCCAACTCAATATTGAACCCTACGGACTAAAACTGGGATGCCATTAAAGTTTATGCAGGCGTCCCAATACTTTTGGCAACATAGTGTATAGTCACAGTAAAATAACAAATTAAAGCTTTGTTGATTTGTCCACATAGTACTTTTTGTATTTGGACTTTCCTCTTGCTATTTCCCCTACTCAATAAAACCCTATGGCTTCTCATACTTTTTCATGATTAAATCTTGACATGCAAAAAAAGCAGTCAAAAACTGTAGTTCTAGAGATAGAGGAGGTTAAACATCACAAAATCATCAGGAGGCCATGTTTCCACATAGAAGAGCTGTGAAAAGCCTAAAATGGACCACATAAAACAGAATGAGGTAAATTGAGTGGGCTTTCTGACTTTAACATAATTGCAGTGTTTTCTTGATTGTGTTAGCATTTAATTAATTGATTTTTACTTGTTGCTTAGAGCTGCAGCTAAAATAAGGCTCTGCACATTGAGACAAAATGACAGTAATTACTGGTTTGGGTTGGTAAAACTAAGTAAAAGTTGTATTACTTACTTTTGATGACTGGGTACATTCGAGTACATTTTGGTTTATATAGCATGAAGGTGATTTAAAATAAAAAAAAACTCAACCATCCCATTGTAATGGGTGGCTGGCAGGTATTAGCTGACCACTGGATTACCCTGAAAGCGGATTCACACAATCGTGGTGCATATTGAAGCTCAGGCTTCACAGCTAATTGACACAGTAGTTGTTCAGTGGTTCAGAACAGGTTTACATCAGGTTCCGGTCAAGATTTTATCCTGTTTACAACTGATGACGTGTGATTTAGAAATGGTTCCCATGGAAGTCAATAACCTGTAATCTGCACCTGAATTGGACCGCACTGCTCAGAAATTGTACAGGACTTGTTTTCAATCCGCATTGAATTCACACTGCTAGTGCACTGGACACATGTGAATAGGCACCATAGGAAGCAATGTTATTTCATATGTCGTGTGGATTGGATGCGGTTCAAACCTCAACCAATCCACATATATGTGAACCAGCAATTAAAGCGTTCCTAAACCCAGGACCCTTCATTCACTATATCTGGTCTCCCACAGTACACAGAACATGGAATTTAAATTATTATAGTAAATATAAACTGCTAAATACCTTTTCTCATCAGCAGTTAGAGCAGTCTTGTGACTTCTATCAGTGTCCAGCTGAGCACTGGTTACAGCTTGTAGGAGGGGTTTTTTATTCTCCTGTAAGAGGCTGCAGGACCCCTGACCTCTGTCTGGACAGTGCTGACTGGCCCTATGCTGATCACATGCACTATCCCAAGGAAAAAAAAAACACTCTGGCATTACACACCACACTGAGCATGTGCACCTTTCCCTCCTGTTCTATCAGGAAATATTTAGGAGACACTGGAAGAAGGGGAGGATCAGAGAAGAGAGGATCAAATATCTTTTTTACACAATGCAGAGGATTAACCCCTTAGATTTCACAGTGAGTATAACACGCATGCTTTACTGCATATACAGGCTGATTTTATTGTTGTGGGTTTAGTAACACTTTAATGAGTTTACATAAAATGCTATAGCCATCTATAGCTAAGATAGAAGGGTAGGGGGATGTAGGGAACAGGATATCATATGTACTCTCCAGCGCCTCAGGAAATGCACAGCCAAAAGGGAAGCCAAGGGAACCAGGACAGCGACAACCAAAGGAAATGCTTCAAGGGTGCAGCCCTCCTCAGATGGGGAGATCAGCCACTAGATAGAGAATAAACAGGTGGCGCATAGTGCATTATCCAAGGTTTATTGAAAGGTATAAAAGGTAAAAACATACTCACAGATGAAGCATGTATCTAAAAATCATTTGCATAGTGACAATGGCTACAACGGCAAGCAAGGTGTTCCAACTGTTAGTGCGGTCAAATTTCTGACGTGTTTTGGGGACAAATCCCTTTCCTCAGAGCTACTGACCAGCCTGTATGAAGGTCAAGCAGTAAAAAAACCATGGCTAGATGCCTTGGGAGCAGAGCTCCACCTCCTCTACTTGTTATAGGGCGAGGAGTTGGAGGGGGTTATTTAAAGTGCAATATTTGGTAATTTCTATAAATGCGTATACATATATATATATATATATATATATATACACACACATGCACATACACATATACATACATACATACACTAAAAGTAAAAGCGAATAAAAAATTATATATACATGAATGCATCATTTGCAAATTTAAATGAATAAAAATAAATATAAAAATAATCGTAGTAATAATACTGTCAACAATGATAAAAATAGAGGTAAAAATAATATTAATAAAGATCATAAAAGTGAAGATCACAAGACTAGTGGATTGTAGATGATTTGCAGTTCAAAGTATCAAGTGTGGCTGTAGACTATATATATTTTTTTTATAAAATGATATCATAAAATGAAAATCAATATATAGAGGAAAAAAAAAATAACTGCAAAAATGTTTTTAAAAAATAAAAATAGTAAGAGGTTGTAAAAGATTATTGTTTTAGATCCAACACTTCCTCTCTTTGGACAGTTCTCTGCATCCCTTACAAGCTAATTTCATTACCCGATGTATTGAATTTTGTCTAACACACAATTATTTTGTGTTCCAAGATTCGTTTTACCTACACATAAAAGGTACAGCTATGGGAGCCAGGTTCGCTCCCAGTGAGGCCAATTTATTTATGGGATATTGGGAAAAATTCCACATAAGAAGTAATAACCCATTTGGAGCGAACCTGGTTCTATTCGCGAGATATATTGATGACATCTTGATAATATGGGATGGCAGGGATGAGGAATTAGAACGTTTCTTCACACTTTGCCAATGTAATCCTTTCAACATTGAATTCACAAAAGTAGTCAATGATAACACACTTGTGTTCCTAGATCTGGAACTGATGTTTGATAACAAACTCAACATCATCTCAAATACCCATTTTAAGCCCACAGCAGGAAATTTGTACAGTTGCAAGAAAAAGTATGTGAACCCCTTGGGATTACGTGGAGTTTTGCATGAATTGGGCATAAAATGTGCTCTGAACGTCACTAAGTCACAACAACAGAAGAACACAGTCTGCTGAACATAATACTACACAAACATTAGATGTTGCCATGGTTTAATTGCACATAACATGTAAACATTCACAGTGCAGGGAGGAAAAAGTATGTGAACCTTTGGACTTAATAACTGGTTGACCCTCCTTTGGCAGCAATAACCTCAACCAAACGTTTCCTGTAGTTGCAGATCAGACCTGCACAACGATCTGGAGTAATTTTGGACCACTCCTCTTCACAAAACTGTTTCAGTGTAGCAATATTCTTGGGATGTCTGGTGTGAATCGCTCTCTTAACCCCTTTGCGCCGGCCGCACGCAGATGTGCGGCCGCCCGGCATCTGGGCCTAGACGCCGAGCGGCCCGCACATTTGCGTCCATGGAACTAAATACATATGTGCTGAGAGCGCGCGCCCTGCGCGCTCCCCGCACACATGTGTAGTACTCACGGAAAGGTCCCGCTCCGCTCTTTCGAACGGGACCTTTCCCGATCATGTGACCGCCGTGACGCGTCATCACGGCGGTCACATGATTCCTAAACCACGCCCCCCCGCCCCGCCTCCCGACGTCAGAATCTCTTAAAGGGCCGGGAGGCGTCGGCGGGAAGGGGTTAAGGTCATGCCACAGCATTTCAATCGGGTTGAGGTCAAGACTCTGACTGGGCCACTCCAGAAGGCGTATTCTGTGCTGTTGCAGCCATTGTTTTGTTGAATTACTTGTATGCTTTGGGTCATTGTCCTGTTGCATCACCCATCCTCTGCGGAGCTTCAGTTGGCGGACAGATGGTCGTACATTTTCCTGCAAAATGTCTTGATAAACTCTGGAATTCATTTTCCCATCAATGACAACAATCCGTCCAGGCCCTGAGGCAGCAAAGCAGCCCCAAACCATGATGCTCCCTCCGCCATGTTTTACAGTGGGGATGAGGTTTTGATGTTGGTGTGCTGGGCCTTTTTTTTTACCACACATAGTGTTGTGTGTTCTTCCCAAACAACTCAATCTTGGTTTCATCTGTCCACAGTATATTTTGCCAGTAGTGCTGTGGAACATCCAGGTGCTCTTTTGCAAACTTCAAACGTGCTGCAATATTCTTTTTGGACATCAATAGCTTCCTCCGTGGTGTCCTCCCATGTACTCCATTCTTGTTTAATGTTTTCCTTATTGTAGGTGTGTCAACAAAAATGTTAGCATGTGCCAGAGATTTCTGTAGGTCTTTAGCTGACACTCTGGGATTCTTCTTTACCTCATGCAGCATTCTGCGCTGTGCTCTTGCAGTAATTTTTTCAGGACGACCACGCCTAGGGAGAGTAGCAACAGTGCTAAACTTTCTCCATTTGTAGACAGTCTGTCTTACCGTGGACACATGAACATCAAGGCTTTTGGAGATACTTTTGTAACCCTTTCCAGCTTCATGCAAGTCAACAATTCTTGATTGTAGGTCTTCTGAGAGCTCTTTTCTGCGAGGCATGGTTCACATCAGACAGTGCTTCTTGAAACCAGTAAACCCAAAACAGGTGTGTGTTTTTTAAGGGCAGGACAGCTGTCAGCAATACATCCAATATCATCACACTGATTGGAGTCAAGGTTGGCTCACTCCTGGCTCCAATTAGCTCTGGGAGAAGTCATTAAGCTAGGGGCTCACATACTTTTTCCTCTCTGCACTGTGAATGTTTACATGTTATGTGCAATTAAACCAAGGCAACATCTAATGTTTGTGTAGTATTATTTTGAGCAGACTGTGTTCTTCTATTGTTGTGACTTAGATGACGTTCAGAGCACATTTTATGCCCATTTCTTGCAAAACTCCACATAATCCCAAGGGGTTCACATACTTTTTCTTGCAACTGTATTTTCATGCTGCCAGCCACCATCATCCAAGATGGATAAAAAATGTGCCCTTGATCCAATTTTGCAGGCTGAAAAGAACCTGCTTACGTCTAGAGGATTACGATGTGAAGAGCAACACCCTTAGAAGAAAATTTATAGAGAAGGGGTACTCTTCGGACGTCATTGAACAGGCATACACAAAATATAGAGCACAATATTC